CATCACTGGCCTCCGCGTAGACATAGAGCCATTGACCACAACTTTCTGGCTGTGCCCATCCATCCAATTTCTTATCCACCAGACAGTCTGCCCTTCAATTCCATGTCTCTCCAATTTGGAGTAATGATGTCTTGTGGGAGCGTGTCAAAGGCCTTACAGAAATCTAGGTAGATGACACCAGTGGTTCTTCCCTTGGTGACAGTTGCAATCACTCCATCATAGAAGGCCACTAGCTTGGAACTGCACATACCTGAACTCTTACTGGTTGCTCTGGATATTAGTCCAGAGGGTGTATGTAGTTATAAAATATCTTCCCCTGTCCACAAGGGACATCTCTCAGTTAGCCAGAAAGGAGGTATCAGAATTGTTGTTGGTTTCTGAATGTTTGCATTTACTTCTGTTCGTCCTGTCCGATCAATACAGATGGTGAAGCTAAGTTTGGACCTCAGGCATGCATAATGCTTATGCTGCGTAATCACTGCTGAAGTGGCTGTGTATGTCATGCAGCACTAGTGCACTAACAAAACAGAAAAACATCTATTAATGTTTTACTAATGTTCCCCTGTGCAGGCTGTTTAGTCTGGACCTCCAGGCTTTTGATTTTCATGGTCCCATTCCAATCAATAGGCTTAGCCATTGAATCACAGGATCATAGAACAGTTTGGGTTGGAAGGGACCTTTAGAGGGTATCTAGTCCAACCCCCCTGCTATTAGCAGGGGCAGCTTTTGCTACTTCAGGTTGCTCAGAACCCTGTTCAACCTGACTTTGAATGCTTCCAGGGACGGGACATCTACTACCTCTCTGGGAAACCTGTTCCAGTTTGTTCTTTAAATGTAATACCTGGAATATTCTTATATTCATATTCTGACTAGTGAATGCTATCTTTTCTTGTTACCTATACTGTGTGTGTGTGTGTGGGGGGGTTGTTTTGTGTTTGTTTTTTTTTAGTTTGAGTAGCTTAATTAGTATATTTTCTTGACGTGGTAGTATTTGTATTGTTCTGTTTTCTAATAAAACAGCACTGAAAATTAGATTTGAGAGGACTTAGTTATCATATGGGGATATTGACACTCTCAGGAGAAAAGAGCTGTGCTACTTCGACTTTTTCAAGGTATTGGATTATTTGCATATTAAAATGCAAAATGTGTGTTGGGCTGGATAAGTATGTTGTGGGGAAGGAGAGGGATTACTCGATTTAAATAAAATTCATGTACCACCTAACACTGTCTAAGAAAAGCATTGAATTTTCATGTACTGATATCTCTTTTTAAAAAATCATCTATGTATTTGAACAGACACTTCTATTTAATGTTTTTAGCATATATTTTTCAGTTTAATTTGTCTTTAATGGGTGAATTCAAAGGTAAAGCTACACTTGTGTCCTACTCTTTCAAACCAGGAAAAAGCATGAGGTTGTTCACCTTGCCATGGACAGCGAGCTAGTATTAACGTAGGGTTTTTTTTGGGTGATAAGCTGCCACAAAGACATCATGAAGTGCTGGTAGGGGGTAACCAAGCACAGGACAAAGAGCCACTGTGATGTTCCCTAAGTCTTTTCATGGTCAGGTTTCTTGGCCGTTTGTTCAGAGCACTGCATTTATCCAGACAGGTTTGTAGTACACTGGAGTTGCTTCCTGTGTCCCTGAACAGACCTGTATTCCAGTCACCAATGTGCTGGAGGAAAGGGAAACCTCTTGCACAGGGAACAGAAGACTGGAAACACCTGAGTGTTTTGGAAGGCATGCCATGGGCTGATCCGGGTGTTGCTGTTGGACTTCTGCTGCTGCCTGTCATGAACAGTGCCCCTCGTACTTTACAGGATTCCTGTACTTCACAGGCTCATTTTGGGGAACCTCTGTGCTGGCGAGATGCAGCCAGACTGCCTCGTTTATGAAATAATGGTTTGGTTTTTTACTTTTCAGCGGTAGCCCATGTATAGTTTTGCATATAGTTTATTAAGCCTCTATGTTTGATACAGTTCTTTGTGAGGAGGACTGTTGTTTCAAGCATAACTGGGGAAGATTGATGTAATGTAGTGAAGTTTGGTGGCAGTGGGCAGCTTCCAGAACTTTCCAAGATGGGCTTTTATACCTTAGAGCTGTTAGAGGGGTAACTCGAAATAGCTATTTATTCTCGTCTTCTACTTGATGTCTCAAGTTCTTGCAAGATGGGTTGCTATCTAAATCTGACTCTTAGGAGTAGGCAAAGTTCTGTATATGATACCATGCACACAAACTTTATATACACTAATATGTCAGTTTGATTGTCTCAGAGCATCTTGCTGAAACAAGCTCTATTGGCTGCAGTGTTTGGCATTGTGATTGTCTTTCTACCATAACTACTCCTAATTTGTGAGCAAAGATTTGGGGATGCAGTCGACTGCATATCCATATAACTTCAGAAAAGTTTAAAGTGTAAGGTCATGGCCTCTGGAGGCCTCCAGCAAATGAGAGTGACAAGCAGAAAAGGAACATCGTATTAACACAAAGGCATGTTTTCCAGGTATATTCTGCATTTAAAAAAAAAAAAGGAGGAATAAAAGAAACTCCCAGTGTTAAGGTTTGTTGATCCTCTCTCAGGCAGTTGCAAAACCTACAACATAACTTTATAACAGGAAATAATTTTAATAACTGCCTGTGGTGGAATGGCTATGAATTTCTGTTTGGGCTACAGCTTATAGAGTATAAGAATGGAAGAACTAGTGAGCCAGTTGTTTGTTGTGGTTTTTATTTTCTCCAGGTGGCTTGGCAGCCTTATCACTATTCCCCCACCAGTCATTAAAAATGCTGTGGTGTCATGGCCAACACCACAAAATTTGAACTGGTAGGAGGTCTTTCTCTGAAAACAGTACCTTTCGGATAGTTTCAGACTTTTAATTTTAGTGTACTTTAGCAACAGGTTTAACAAGATATTTTTCCTTTGGAGCACTGGTTCCAACTCTTTAACTTTTTAGAGGCCCCTTTCTTCTTTTGAGGAAATGGGTTATTTTATGGTGGTATGTGATGTGCTGTGGTGGAACTTTAACTGCCCAGGGGCTGTGTTGAGACTGCCAAGTCTGTGGAACTACTCATCTTGACTTTGCAGGACTGTTTTCCCTAGGGGAAAACACAATCATCAGGTTTATTGTACAGTGACAGATGCTTAATTTGTAAATGTCACGGCAACTTGAAGGGCTCCGTGTTCAGCATACGGTGCTTCAGATACTGGTTTTACGTGAGAAGACAGCTATGATGTATGGCTGGAGTTGCTGCAGTTCTGCCTGCTTTTTCTTTTTGAATTCTCTTGAAGAAGATGGCCTTTAACTCTTTGCTAATAATCAGTTACAGCCGAGGTGTGTGTGAGATGTCTTTTCTTGTCATGATGTGAATTAAGTAAAAATCCTACTCATACAAAGTCTGTAACATTCAAACATACTTTGATAGCTTTTTTATTGTCTTTCAATGTCACTTGCCTACAACACCTGTAATAAGTTGTTTTAGTCAAAGGGGACTTACCTGCTCTTGCAGTCAGATATCTGAATCTGAGCTGGCAGTCTTGACTCCATCTGTAGCAAGTAAAGAGAAATTTGTGGATCTAGGTTGTAGACACATTGCATGCCATGTGTGCCTACTGTTTTGCCTTGACTGGACTTCAGAGCTAGTCAGTTTGGAATCCCTTCAGAATTATGTTAGAGGAAGACACCTTTAAAGCTAGCAAGAATAAAAAAGGCTTGTGTTCTTATATTGTAAAATCTCCTAAAAGTCCGGTTTGGTTACACTCAACTTCAAGCATATAGCCTACACATCTAGGCCATCATTGCCCTACTGAGTAATTAGTGGAGTGGTGCATTCCTGTAGTGTTCACACAAACTTAAGCTTGAAAGGCACAGTAGCAATGATTTCCTTTCTATTGGCAGTAGAAGCATAGAAATACTAGTCTTCTAGTGTAACTGTGGTGCTAAAAGTAGATGGGATGAATCTTTCTAAACTTGTGTTAGCATTGTTTGTGTTCAGTTCTTTACATCTCTCTTATAAGCCATGTTTGCAGTGATAGTAAGCTGGTATGGATGGGTTAAGACATACTGATCCATATTTCCCCCATAGTTCTTCCTGCCAGGTTATGTGATATCTTGTAACATAAGTCATCATTGCATGCAGTATTTTGTGACAACTGCATCTCTTGTGATTCAAAAGTATTGTGCTATTGCAGTCACAATGACGTTGTATTGGGTTTTGCAGAACATTATTCTATTTAACAGATGGGTACTGTTCTGCAACTGGACCAAACTTTGTTTGACATACTGAAATGCCCTCTGGTCTGGAATAAAATCCATTAAGCTAGGCAGCCAGTGACAGTAAACTTAAATGTGATTATTGACTGCTGTTTATAAATGTTCTTCATGGGCTGTCGTAGGACCTTACCCCAACCTATCCTAAAGACAGATATTGGATTAACTTGTTTATTAACTTGTTTATGGAATAACATTCACCTGACAGTTGTATAATGGTTATATTCAGTTGAGCTGCTTAAATTTGTAGTTATAACTCAGTACCAGCA